TGCGAACGCGACAGAATGGAGTGGCGTTTGACATATTTTCGCGAGGTTTTGACCTCAGCCCCCGAGCCCCGTCGTCTTTCCGCTTCCCCCCTCCGGAGAGCACGCCCCCGGGCGCCCAATCGGGGACGTGCCTAACGCCGGCGGGGTCCTGTGGTGGTGTGGCCCTGGCGGGGCTGGGGCCGGTGGCCGGCGGCGGCGGCAGCGACTCCGGGCGACATCCTGCGTCAAGAGGCTTCAAAATGCTGCCCCCTCCTCTCCGTCTCTATTATCCCCCCTCGCCTGTTATTGCCGGCTGCTATACCCTACCCCCTCTCCCTTCACTCACTCTTCCTATCCTCTTTCTACCACTCTCTTTTCCACTCTCTCTTCCTCTCTGAGCCACCCTGATGTCCCCCTTCTCTCGCTCTCCCTTGGCTCCCTCTCAATCGTCATCTTTCCCCCATCTTCGAGTCCCCTATCCTCTCTGGGCAGAAGGCGAGGAGCCCCCGAAGGCCTCACGAGGCCCGGAGGAGTGAGTGGGTCAGAGCTGTCTCCCCCTCTCTCCCCCCCTCTCCCTCCCCTCTCTCCCTGCCCTCTCTCCCTCCCCTCTCTCCCTTTCACCCCCTCGCTCTCACCCACTCTCAACGCTCCCCTAGCAGCTCACCTCTCTAACCCCAGCAGCTCCTCTTGTAAGTCCTGCGGCCCCAAACCTACCAGGTTCGTGATTGGAGCAGTTAGTCGCTCGCTTCCCCGATGCAGCACAGCCAGCCTCCCCTTATCGTGCCCACCCACCCCCACCTTCCCTCTACCCCTTTCCCCCGTGCCACCCCCGCCACGCCACACGAGCGTGCAAACCCCCGTGCAAACCGCAGGACTCGACAAAGGCATACCTTGTGTCAACTTGCGTACGGGGCGCCCGTGGAGCCTGTGGCTGCGGCTGCGGAGGCGCGGCGGGGGCGGGGGGATAGGGAGACGTCCCCGCGCCCTGCTTCCCTGCTGGCCTAGTTTCCGAATTTTACTCCGGCGTCTATTGTTTTGCGGCAACAAGATCTACTGTGTGTGTGTGTGCAACTCCATTCTCGTGCCGCACTCGAGCTCGCGGTGTACAGTCGCGCGAGGCGCGGTATGGCGGCGAGAGTAGTCGCCTTGCACAATAAAAACTGCACTTCATGATTGCAGTGCGCGAGAGTGGTGTGCGCGGGATTCTGAGGAGGCGGCTATAATTAGAGATGTTTGCAGAGGGTGCAATCTTTACTACAACATCTATAAGGTCCTTTTTTTTTTTTGTCGGTTGGGGGTGAGTGTGAGTAGCGTGTGTGTGTGCGTGTGCGGGGAGCCGAAGGGAATGGGCGAGTGGAGTGAGGGATAACGGGCTTAGAGAATCCCAAGCAACACCGTCAGCAAAGCGGGTAAAGTGCTCTCCGCACTTTTCAGGAGAGCCCCTGGCTGGTGCTGCTGGAGGTGCTGGAGGTGTTGGGCGTGGCACGGCTGAGCGGTAGTGGTAGTGGTCGCTGGCTGGTGAGGTGCTCCCCCCCCCCCTCCCCCACCACTCCCACTTGTAAGTTGTTCGTGGTGCGGTAGGGCGTAACGCAGCGCTACACCTGCGTGCTTCACACGGAGCCGCCGGTAACAGCTGGGGCCGCCCGGCCCGGCCCCGGCGAGGCGAAGAAGCAGGAGCACGACGACGCACACGCTTTTTGCTCGAAATCGCCTCGGATGGCGTCGGCGGCGGCGTTCACGCCCGCCCGAACACTTTGCTCTGCGTGGGTGGTGTGCCGGTAGGGCTGCCCCGCCCCGCCCCGACATGGAGAGCGCAAACTAGACCGCGCCCATCTCTCTCCCGTGGCCCGCAATCTGTTAAACCGGCGCCCGCCCCCCGCTCACCGCAGAGTGGAGGGGTAAGGAAGGGGGAGGGGAGTGGGAGCTGTAAGGCCCCCTCTAGCTTTTAGACACGGAGAGGCGCTGGTGCGTGGCACGGCCCCGACCCGACGCGACCCGCACCCGCCCGCACCACCCTTGGCGACGCGCTGCTGCCCCGGGCGCAGCCCCGGGCCTCTCCTGGTGCTGCTGCTGCTGGTGGTGCTGCTGGTGGTGCTGCCGGTGCTGCTGCTGGCTGCTAAGCCTGACAGAGACTCCTACGTCGATACGGTGTCGTGGAAAGCAGCAGGTCTGTGGAGCCCGGTTTGACGTC